ACACACACACACTTAATCAATAGAAACACTATTTCTTTGTATTTCTCTATGAATTATAATATAATTATTGTGTTATGTGTGTTGTGTGAAGATTGATGAACATGTACAAAGAGAAATCATGAACCATAGGTCACTTAACCACCCCAATATTATAAGATTCAAGGAGGTAATACAACAATGTTCATTCATCTATTTTTCTTTACAAAATTACATTAAAAGTTGAAATTTGTGTGACAAAACGTAGAAAATAAATGAATAGGTTTTGTTGACGGCGACGCATTTGGCGATAGTAATGGAATATGCTGCAGGAGGAGAACTCTTTGAAAGAATTTGCAGTGCTGGAAGATTCAGCGAAGACGAGGTCTCTCTTTTTATCTCACACTTTTATCATAATCTAAATTAAACCATTATTGATTTTGAATAAATAATGGTTATATATGTTTGGTTTCAGGCAAGGTTTTTCTTTCAGCAGCTCATATCAGGAGTTAGTTACTGTCATAGTCTTGTAAGAATCAAAAACTTGTTTTTTTCAAATTTTGGTTTTGCAATGAAATTGAAAGTGTTTTTTTTTGTGTGTGTGTTGTTGTTGTATGGAAAAAAGCAAATTTGCCATAGAGATCTAAAGCTAGAGAACACGTTATTAGATGGAAGTGCAGCGCCACGAGTCAAGATATGCGATTTCGGATACTCGAAATCCGGAGTTCTTCATTCGCAACCAAAGTCAACAGTAGGAACACCAGCTTATATTGCACCTGAGGTTCTTTCAAAGAAAGAATATGATGGTAAAATCGCTGATGTTTGGTCTTGTGGAGTCACTTTGTATGTTATGCTTGTTGGTGCTTATCCTTTTGAAGATCCTTCTGATCCTAAAGATTTCCGAAAAACAATCGGTCGGATTCTGAGATCTCAGTACTCTATTCCGGATTATGTCCGAGTTTCGGATGAATGCAAACATCTTATCTCTCGGATATTCGTCGCAAACCCTGAAAAGGTAAGAGAAATGCTA